ATTCGAAAAAAAATTCTTAATAGAGGTATGGCACCACAGTACCTGTCTGGCTCCAAGGTTCAGCTTATAGTGGAAGCAGAAACAGGGATGCACAATCAAGTGTAAAACTGAAGTGTGAATTCCCGTGCCAGCTGGTTGAATTACTGGTCTCATTAAAAGATAATAAACTATCAAATGTAATGTTGAGCTGCTTGCAGAAATAAACATTACACATTTGTATTTCAGGGTAGCACTATTATGATCATATAAAAACCACAAAGGGTTAGGGCTGCTCAATTAATCGAATTTTAATCTCGATTACGATCTGGGCTTTCAACGATCATTAAAAATGACTGAGCTGATTATTAGCACCTCCCTCGTGCTTTACTCTCGCGCTGCTCCGTGGGGCAAATCGAGCGCACCTCTCTGCATTTCGAACACGCGTCACAACAATTAAGAGGACCCGGGGGAAGCTCGGAAAGCTTAGCAGAAGTTATTTGGAGAGGAGAGTGACTGCTGTTGGTTGAAAAGAGAGGTAAAAAAAAAAAACTTCAGTGGTGTGGAAACATTATGGGTTCGCGGAGTCAGACGTGGATCAAGTAGACACAGTTTGTACGTAGCTGCACCACAGAACAACGCTGCAAAGTTCACTAAACATAGATGTTTACATTTTTCATTCATTTCTTATATTGCAAACATTTGCACTGTTATCAGTATTTGCACACTATTTTATATTATTTTTTTAAGTCATTGTTCAATACATTGTTATTGTTAAATAAATATCGTCAAATAATCGCGATCTCAATTTCAGTGAAAATAATCGTGATTATCATTTTTGCCATAATCGAGCAGCCCTACAAAGGGTCATACAAAACCTTGTGCTAAAATGATGACTTTGTTTTTTTTAACATTTAAATTGTCATTAAGTTACAAAGACATCAAAAGTTTATGATATTTCTTGTTTGTTTGTTTTGGGGTTTTTTGCCACAAGGTAGCAGTAATGCAACTACAAGCTACAAACAAGAAAAACATAAGAAGCATGTTAAGATGCTACCAGTAAAATTGGATTAGATACTCATTTGCAACAGTATTGATACTAACAGTGCAGTCTTTGCTTCCTCCAGTTGACACACAGCTTCACACCACCCCTGAATCTGAATCACAGGCAGGCATTGATTCCGCCCCTCCCCTCAGCTAGCAGCTGAACACATGAACCAGCTAGCAGCTAAACACATGCACACCATCAAGACAAATTTAGCAAAGCAATGTTAAAGACCATCACCCCAGTCTTTATGAAGAATTTTGTTAGATCAGTAAAGCTCCTGTTTGAACAACATTTAAGTATTAAACAGTTCTACATGTTAACTTGCATGGCACACACTTTGTTAATGTTAACCAACAGTCGCACTAGCTATCCTTCTGCTAGCATGGCTACACAATGAAAAATCCATTAATATTTCTTACACTCTGAGTCACACCTGCTTTATTTTAAGGACCAAAGCTTTACTCCACACAGCTCTTATAATTCCTAAATCCTTATTACTCTGCTCTAATTATCTTTCAGTGTTTGGATGATTAAAACTGAGGCTCTCATCTGTTTTGCTAGACAGTCAGTGAATCTGGGCACGAGGCCATATTTCTGCAAAAGCCGAAAAGGGGAGTACAAACCGAAAGCTTAGATCACACACACTTGCTGTTACACTTTAATGATGAAATACAGAGCATATCCATATTATCTTTGCCTAACATTTCATAGACCCTACACTCGATTATAATGAAGATTTTTCTCCCAAGTGTGTCAAGAGATGATTTTAAATGAGAAGTTCATCCCCTGCAGGGCTCCTATAATTGAAAATGACAAAGTTAAGATCAGCAGACATACGTGAAAGATATGAAATTAAAACATCTGCATTGTCCATGTTGCTGGGGCTTTGAAGAGTAATGTTTTGATAGGACCTGTTCTACTTCACAAGTTATACTGGGAACTGAGGTCAAGTGATATTTAATAAAAACAGATACACAGCATGCTTGATATATGGCTGTACTAACAATAACCCCACATAAACTGCGCATCGCCATTAATCTGCCACCAGCCTGCCAGAGCATCGCAGGGTTTGCATGATTTTATAAAGAAGGCTGAAGTAATATAACGCAGCACAGTGTAGTTTCCATTAGCTAGTGAGTTTTACAGCGAGACTCAAAGAAATATAATTAAGATTAACTGGAGAAGACATCCAGCTACAGCTGGTGAGAAAAAAAATGGCTTTCCGTGCATCCAGAGAAGCTAATTTGTCTTCTGAGACTGTTTACTAAAAATAAGACTACTCTCTTGATTTCTGTGAAAAACAAACTCCTTCCCATAGAGGCTGCACCTCACTCTCAGGGGCAGGCTGTGCTGCAGCCTTGATGGTTTGATCCCCAGCCCTTCCGTGTGTTGAAGTATCCTTGGGCGAGATAGTGAACCCAAATTTGTTTCCAGTGGCAGGTGAACACCTTGCATGGCAGCTCTTCTGCCACTGGTGAGTGAATGAGAAACACACAAATTGTAATCCACGTACCTTTTGCCTGGGTTTCAGAATAAACTGGATTTTTATTTTGTTGGTTCAGTTTCAGATTTCTGTCAGGATATTACTGGCTCATGCTTCATGCTAAATATACTGTGCTGTCAGTCTTTGTTCAGATCATCATTACTCTCTAGGTTCAGGCTTTTCTGTAACATTGAACTCACATCAGAATTGTGTGGCTAAGGTTTTTAAGGGTCACAAATATAAAAGCTATATTTTTATTTCAAGTGGCATCATTTAGGGCAGATTATCAGATTTTTAAAGGACCAATGACTCTTCAGTCACAAACATTTCTTTACCTATACGCAGAAGTTTGTGTCTTGTAAATCGTCATACAAGTTACAAGACTTCACTTCATACACACTTGCATGCCACTTCATTTCGCGTGCCAGTTCACCAGCTTGTTAAGGCAAATATTCAATCTGCCAATCACACAGCCACAAGCCCCAACATTTAGGCATGTAGACTTGTCCAGGATGACTTGCTGAAGTTCAAAAACAAACATCAGAACAAGGAAGAAAGATGATTTAAATGACTTTGAACGTGCCATGGTTGTTATTCCCAGACAGACTGGTCTGAGTATTTTAGAAACTGATAATGTGCTGGGATTTTTTCACACTATCGTTGCTAGATTTTATAGAGTATATAGAGTGGGGTCTGAAATTATCCAGTGAAGCTGCAGTTCTCTGGGTTAAAATACCTCAATGATGGCAGAGGTCAGAGGACAAAGGCCAGTCTGCTTTCATCTGATAAAAAGGTAAGAGTAACTCAAACAGCCACTTGTTAGAACAAAGGTATGCAGAAGAGCATCTCTCTGAACCAGATGGGCAGCAGACACAGCAGCAGAATACCACACTATAGACAATAGAAGACTGGAAAAACTTTGCCTGGTTTAATATCTGCTGTGATATTCAGATTATAGGGTCAGAATTTGGCAAGCAATATGACAGTATGGATCCATCCTGCCTTGTATCAATAGTTCAGGATGGTGTTGATAGTGATGTAATGTGTGTGTGTTCATTAGTAATGAAGTGGCAGTTGATTGTTTGTGGAGCATTCTGGAAAAACCAAAATATTTCTACTGTTTTCTAATGGTAAACACATAAAAAGTGTCTTTGCACACATCCTGAAAACAAGACAGAATAAGTTAAATAAAGTAAGGAAAGTACTGAAGTGGGAATTTTGTGCACAATTTTAAAATGGTTTGGTCATTTTTGTCTGAATCAGCTTGCTGACAATAGGGATCTGCTTTGTGTTATTTCAGAGATGTTCGCCATTGGATGTCGCTGCACCCTGTGACTTTTATGGTGTTTTACTTTGAATCAGAGGAATCGCTACTTTAAAGACCAAGCCACGCCGAATATTATCCCCTCTGTGTTGTGACACTTTCTGCCACCACCTGTAGTAATAATGATTTGATATTTCATTGATCCCTGCGGGGAAATTTTCCGTCCACTCTCAGTTGATGTAAAAGGTCAGAGCGCAGAGGCCACTGTGAGCCTGAAGCTGCCGGAGATTTGGTGACACGCTCACAGGCTTTTCAGCAGAGCAGATGCATGAAAGAAGAAAAGTATCACTACTCACAACATCACAACCCGGACTGATGGTATCATGCGTCCAGGTTGTGAACCCACTTATTAATGTTTGACACTATATCACTGGAGTCTGGCTTATTTGCACAGCAAAACCAAATAAATAAATAAATAAATCCTGGTCTTTCACTACAGCTATAAAACTGCAGCAGGTGCATAGAAAGAGAACAATAGCAGCCCTTTTAAGCACTTCATTTCTAACAGATTAGCAGAAAGAGCACAAACGCAAACAGGTGGCAAGTGTGAGCAGCAAACCCATCTTTCCAGTGAACAATAAACCTTTTATGCCACAGAAATGTCAGGACTTCAAAGGCTTTTGCTGATACTGTCCTGTCAACACTCTTTCACATTCCACATATCCAATTTAACAATCAAATGAGCTGCATGAGCTATTTTTAGCAATGCTGAACTCCTTTGCATTATTTCCTTTCTTTTGCACTTTGTCCTTGATGTTTATATTGTGATTTACGGTTTCTTTATAGACAGAGTAACGAATGCAAAATGTGATACATGTTGTGACCATTCACCTTTAGTAACACGGGTCTGTCTGTAGGTCACTCGCACCTCACCTGTACAGATTTGACCCTGCAGCGGCGTCACAGAATCTGACGCAGACCTGCTGTGACACCTTTACGGACACACGGAGACAGGCAGGTCAGACAAACCGTCTGACTGATATAAAGACGGACTTGGCTGGACAGTCCACCGGATCGCTTCTCACACAGAGGTCTGTATTGACCGTAGCGCATTCCTACGGATCGCCTTCATCCACGCAGCACACGGCTGTGCGCGCCAACATCCAGCAGCAGCACGAGACGCAGGTTTCAACCTGTTAGCACAGACCAGGCATGTAGTGTCTCCTTACCTTTTACTCTCGTCTCCTTTGACATAGTGTCCTCTCCCTTGTGTTTCTGTCAGTCTGCGGCCACTCAGCAATGCTGTCACGTTATTCTCCGTTTATACACCGTTTCGTCGGATAGTTAATTGAACATCGGCTCTTCCTCTGTCCCCTCTCTCCTGGCTGCTGCACCTTGACGCTTGCCAGGCTGAATCAGGGTGAAGTGGGGCACGGGGAGGTCTACAGCTGCCTCATCGGTCTCCTCTCAGCGATGAGATGAGAAAATTAAACAAAATAGCCAAAAACAGGAGAAATCTGCAGCTGTGTTCTCATTCACCTGAGTCAAGACCCTCGGAGCATCGACCCGCCCCTCCGCAGACATACTTTGGCTATGTGGTGTATCTGTGCAGACTTGGCTCACATGTCATGCCCACCCAGCTCCCGTTCCTCTCTCCTCTCCGCCGCTAACAGCAGCCAGAGTTGTGCCAAAGCTCCGGTCTGCAGCTTGACTGCCTCCAGCGGTGCGCGCACGTCCGCGGCTGCTGAAGGGCGTCCGTCTTCCTCTTCCTGTGTCCGTTTTCTGTCTGTGCAAAACACTCAAGGAGGACCCTAAATGGAGACCTATAAAGCAGCTGGTCCATTGCTTTTCTCATGCCTGGAGCCGTAATGAAAAAGCAGTTTACCAGCTATATTGTCACTGGGACGACACATTTAATTAGCCAAGGCAGTTTAAATCAGTTTTATTTAATCTATCATGCCAGAAGCCTTTGCAGAAATTACACATACTCTGTAAGAAAGGTTGCTGCATTTGTGTGCTGGGGTCCCAAAAGTCCGGTTTAAAAAAAGAACAAGGCACAGCTTTAATGAAAGAGTAGAACAAAATACACAGAATATTAAATGTAAAGTAGATTAAAGTCTTTCTGCAGTGTCATACAATCTGGTTTTGCTGTATAGAGTTTGGCTGTAAGCATAAATAAATAAATTAAAATAGAAATTTTGATATGGAAAACATGTGGCATAAAGAAGAAGAGCATGGGGGCGCAGTGAAACAGGATGGAGGGGAAGAGCGAGCACCCCTTTAAACCATCCATCACAAAGCAGCAGATGCCAGATTGGTCGGTCAGCTTGGGCAGTCACTCAGGCAGAGAAGCAAATCTTTTGGGCTTTGAGAAGTGCTTCAAAATACAACCAACCATCAAAACAAAGCACATGGGTGAAGCACATGAACCACATTTCTCTCAGCAGCTTTAAATCCTTTAAATCCAGTTGTGAGATCTGGCTTAATCTCACAGATGCTTCACCTAATGGATTCCTCTAATTCATTTCTACGCTTATTTCAACCTCCAGTCCTGCGATACTTGACCCGAATAGCTGCAGAATAGCTTCCCTCACGTTTCTTTATGGTGCACATTAAGCAGCAGTGTGTCAAGTGGTCACAGTAACACCTGCTGTTTTCAACACTCGCATCCACATATGTGACCACACATGAGCTTACACAGTCCCTTAAGGATGGTCTGGTTGTGGCATTAATCGGCAGTCACGTCCACACAAATGAATATTGATGGGGGAAATGGTGATGGCCGAACCATCACCCTAGAATAAGACAGCCAGACATTCTACATTACCAGACTCTACTAGGAATACACACAGCCAATTTGTATTTATCATGGAAGCCAATACCAATACACTTCTGGTGTAGAACAGTGAGTTGCAATCCCTACTAAGGAAAACTAATAGGGAAAAGCCTTAAGGCCAGGAAGACAGGAAGACAGATAGCTCTGATTACACCAAATGGCAGCACTGCCTGAATCCAAGAGGAAAAGAAAGGCTAATTGAATTATGTGAATTTCTTTTGTAAGAAGACTTCTCTTCATGCCATTGGAGACACAACTCAAAGCAGCACTTTGCTTCTCAACAGTGGCTTTTGATGTTATTTGATGTCAGTATTCAGTAAGAAATATTTTACTGAACCATACAATTATATTAAAAAAAAAAAACAGATCTCTGTGGCAATTCAGAGCCAGTCTAGGCACTGAAAATTCATTGTAAACATGACTAAAGTCTTACAAAGTAAAGTCAGAAAGAAACTCAATCACACTAAATGTTTTTGTTGGTATAAACACTGCAGGGGTTTTGAAAAATGGATGAAAGAACTGTTTCAGCAGCATTAAGCTTTCTGGGAGCCGTTAAAAGACTCACAAACTACAGTGCAGGCAGTCAGCAAACTGAAGTTAGCACCCAAGGTGCAGATTTGTTGTTCTTTTCTGTCTTTAAAAAATAATCCAGCAACCTTATGGAAGGAAAGGCACCGTGCTGTATGTCACAGCACTCTCACACAAGGTGAAGTTGTCAGCTGGCTGTTTTTATCCTAATGTGCTGTTTGATGATGTGGCTTGCTGTTTCACACACATGCAGATATACTTACTATTCTACTGTTTAACCCTACAATTCACTGTTGCTGTGACCCTTTTGTCCTCTTTATCATATTAGCAGCTTTAGAGAAGCACTGTGATCCAATAGGAATGAATTGGAGGTTTAGAAGAGAACTGAACTGTTGTTTAACCAGCAAATCTCTTGTCATTAAAATCTATATGTTAAAGGAAACATGGCCTACAGGGCACACCACTATAAAGTTATGAAAATAATAAATTAAGAAATAATTAAAACATACAAAGAAAAAAAGAAAATGACTTAAAATAGGAAAGGAACAAAATACAATTCAAGCTTAGGAATAGTATTTTTACTCCTTGGTTGTTTTTTTGTTTTAAATAAGAGACTTATATTCTTCCATGCAATGTTGATGGACAGGTTGACTGATGAGGATGCAGGAGTGTCCATGGTTCACAGATGACAATGTGATTTGTAGGGAGTCAGTGAAAGAAATCCTGGAGAAGTGGAGGTATGCACTGGAGAAAAAAAAAAGGAATGGCAGTCAATATAAGCAACATAACTGTAATGAGAGTAAAAAGCTATTAAATATAAATTCAACACTTTTAATCCGCTTCCGATATCATGTCTGCTTCATTTGCTGTGAAATCTCAAGGAAACAAGCTTTCCAATTAATCATCCAATTCATATTTTCTTCTTCTGGAGTTCAGGTATAACAGTAAAAACACTCCACAGTTTCATTGTTCATTATTCATATAAAACACAACTATTACAGGTATTATGAATTGATTTTTAATGTAGTGAACGTATTTATAATTGTCGCCTGAGTAAATTATACTGGGGTGCAAAATGACTTACGTCTACTTCCTGTAAGTACATTTAAGGCTAGCTTATTATTTAACCTTTGAAAATTATATTAAATTCTTATCAAATGTAGTTGTTGCTATAGTATTATTACACTTTAACCACCTAAAGCAACATGCTGCTAACATATTCATGCATCAACCATGAAAATTGAAAACACCAGTTTCTGTAAAATCATTATGCATTGAATGCTTTCACTTTTAATTTGTTCTACAGGCTACGCTTTGTTTATCCATAGTTTCTCCTGAATATATTTTGCACATTTGAAAGAAGGGCTTTTACTTAATAATGGAACATTTTTACGCTGTGGTATTGCGACTACAAGTGGAGAGCATTACTACTTCTCCCACCCTTTGATCAACCACGGTATCAAATAAAGGTCATGCTGCTCCTCCTGCTGAAGTGAGCTATTCTGTATGTCGGCCTATACTCAACTGTATCTTACATTAATAAAAAATAAACGAAGAATATCTAGTTTTTCTAAATAACTCCGTGTTCACTCTGCCTTGTACGCACGTGTATTGAGCTTGACAGATAATCATTTCTATCTCATGATCTATCATTGTGAGTATAGTTGGCTATCTGCAAGGACTCGATTCATATAATAACTACATAACAAACAATTCAATCTGAGAGGTATTATTAATCCCAACAATGCAAAGCCGTGACAGATGCTTCCCTTCAGTCATGTATTTAATGAGATCTCAGATGGCCAATTGCGTCTCAAAACTGTCTGAAAAAAAAGGGGAAAATATGAGAATCCAAACGATGGTGGTGTCTGCGCGACAGACTGCTCAGTGATGGCCAGCATCTCAGCAGAAATCATCCCTCAGATACTTCATCTTCGACAGAACATCCCCCGAGAGGAGCAAACATGACTAACAAGCAAGGATCCATCTGTTGTAAACACTGAGCAAAACAGACCCGACTGCCACAAAGCAACTTTAACGCACCTACATGCCAAAGTGCCCCTGCGAACGTGAATATATTGCAGTCAGTGTTCTGATAATGAGTCAGCGCTGACCGGTGGCAAGGTCGAATCTCTGTGATCATTTGAAATTATAATGATGAGCAAAACTGTTCTAATTCTGGTCTTTCCACAGTAATATGTTTGTGCATGGTGGTTACAGCATTAACGCTGAAAAATCAAGGACATCCAAGTCAACCACAGTAAAGCCTCAAAGATCAAAACAATTTGGTCTTACTGTAAGATTTGCTAAGCTGCTCCCTGATGTTAAGCAGTGCTGACAAAGCAAATATACACTGATTTGTCTTTTAAACGTCTCCTGAACTATAAAAGCTAAAAATAATCATAAATCAACTCATTATTTTATGGTCTTTGATGTTTCCCAGTCGCATGTCAGAGCTACCTGCCTTACTTATACCTATGTAAAGACAGCAACACCTCCCTCACATTGAACATACCAGTTTGTATTTATCAGAGATCACAAAGGGGAAATGTGCACTGTGCATGAGACTGTTAAAGCTTGCATGCATTCTGACACCCTCATACACACAAACACGCACACACAAAAACACACAACACAGCCTGAGAGGAAATACGGGGCAGCTGATTCCGTGTGAGCTAATTCATTCAGTCACTGTATGTCCCCAATCAAAGGCTGGTCCCCACAGGCCAGTGCAGCATCTGCATGTGCCCCCATTGCTCTATCTGCCTGGCTTTCATGTTGCTCTCAAGGGACTCAGACATTTTCTCAGCCTGTCAAGTTTGTCCTGTTTAATTTGTGCTACACATTTTACCACAATTAAGAAAGAAAAGCACAGAAAAGAGAATTATTAAAATAGTTCTCAACCAAGTTCAAAAGCCTGAAAAAGGAAAAAAAAAAGAATCCCTAACCATACCCTTATCACTTTCCTTTCATGTGGTCCAACCCTCAGAGTGGACAGAGATTACAGGGATAACACATTAAATGTAGAGGGAAGTATTTTCTCTGTGCTGAGACACTTTATTTAGACATTAAAATGAATGAGAAATCAATTTACAAGACCTTAAGTGCACCATGTCCTTGGCTTTCTACATCAGTTTGGTGGAAACCGTATGCAATTAATTTATTTCCATATGCCAATGTGAAAATAATAAGTGTGAGTAATCCTCAGGGAGATTTAGACCAAGTGCAAGGGGACGGCTGTAATCTTATAATCCTCTGTAATGTTCTAATGGTCTCTCTAAGCTTATCTACACTAAACTAACTTTCCCAGAGGTATGCAAACACAGATACAGATGGACCAAAAGAAGTAATGTGACTAATGCTCCCTGTGTAACTCAACAATCTCTTCTGCCGAGCTTTACAATAAAA